GCCTGCGGGGACGAGGCAGAGGCAGGAGTCGGCAACTCAGGCGCGGCAACCAGTCCCGCATGCAAGGGAGCCGAGGGGTCGGCGACAGACTCCGGCGGTGCAGCAGGGGACGCCTGGGGTTCAGCCGGCACAGCCGGGGCGGATGGAACAGCAGCAGCAGTTGCAGGAGTCTGAGCGACAACACTCGCAGTTGAACCAGGCACATCCGCGACAAGGAGAGCCGCGGGTCCGGGGTGAGGAATCTTTTCAGAGGATGTTGTCGAGGGCTTCGGAGCCGGAGGCAGCGGGGGCTTCATCGCCGTGGTCGCCCTTTCGGGCTCAGACTGAGTCCTGGCGACCATTGCCGACCAGGAGGCAACGAGCTCTGGCGTCGGCTCAGGCGCACCGTCAATCACCATCGGGAGGACGAGGAGCTCAGGGAGAGAGGAGCCGGGCGGTTAGCGGAGCAGGCGGAGGACCAGAGAACGGGTATCAGGCGGCAGGACGTCGGGCTTTAATAGCTCTGGTAGCAGCTAATGTAGTCGAGGAGAGAAATGACCCCTCTTATACCGTGGAAGTGCAGCCAGAGAGTGAAAACGAAGAGGGGGATGGAGCTGAGATAACAAGGGTAGGAACGGGGAGGAGAGGACCAGGTGCAGCCAATTTACCTAGGGCAGAAACGGAGGGTCAAGCAGGGCCGTCGGCAGCTGATCGAACGGGTGGGAATCCAACTCGGCAGCAATCAGCGAGATCGAGCCGCGCTCGAAGAAATCGGACCGCACTATTCGGCCAGGCGTCAGTCGCGACCCCGCAGCTGCCCCGCTATTTTTCGCCAGAGGAGTTGGCAGAGAGGAGCGACATGTTCGCTGACATCGCGAACTGGGATGTTTCCGCCCTCCGCGACAGTCGACAACCGCCACTGACGAGACGATTACCGCCAAATTTGTGCCAGTTATTTTCGCTGGCACTCCTGACACCCCTACACCACCTCTCACGAAACCCTGATTCCGAGGCCGGTTGGCGACTACTCCTTTTCCTCCCGCGTTTAACCCTTCGCCAAGCTTCGCCAAAGCACCCAAACTGGCCGCAAATCAAGGCCCGGCTTCGGGCTTTCCAGCGTGGCGAGTGGACGCAGCTCTACCAGGACGCAGTAAACGCGGTCAACACCCCTCCACCCCCGCGTCACCAACCCGACGTGACAGGTGTACTGAGTCGAGCGGAGGGGTTGGCAAAACGTGGCAGTCTGCGCCGAGCCGTGCTGGCGCTCGAGTCAACACCCGTCTGCACACCAAGTCCAGAAATCCTGGACGAACTTCGCCAGAAACACCCGCCAGCAGGTGCAGAGCCGCTGACTTGGCAAGCAACCGACACCCGCTCCTTGGGCATTTCCCACGCTGAATTTGCGAAGCTCCTGGGGCGATGCGATAATGGCGTGGGGGCCGGACCATCAGGCACAACATTTGAGCATCTTCGCGACGCGGCAGTAACCAATGCATCCGTCAGCACCCATCTGCACGCCCTGGTAAACACAATTCTGGGAGGAAACCTCCCAGCCTCGGTGGCAGACCTGCTCACAGCATCTCGACTCATAGCCCTGGCCAAGCCTGGAGGAGGTGCCCGACCAATCGCGATCGGTGAATGCCTGACGCGGCTGGCTGCCAAGGCTGCGCTCTCGGTCATGGGCGAAGCTGCACGTGAACACTTCCTACCCCTACAGTACGGCGTGGCGGTGCCAGGAGGGGCGGAAGCGATAATTCATGCCGCCCGAACGTACGTGGACGGCCACCCTAACAGCCTGGTACTGCAGACCGACATCGCGAATGCTTTCAATAGCATTTCGCGACAGTCCATCGCAGCCGCGTTACAAGAACCCACCCTGTCGCCGCTGCTACCACTGGTTTGCCTGACCTACGGTAACCCGTCGCGGCTGCACCTGGATTCGAACTTTGCGAGCGAACCCCTGCGTAGTGAACGTGGCGTTCGCCAGGGCGATCCACTGGGTCCCTTCCTTTTCGCGGCGGGAATTCACCCCACACTTTGCGACACTGCAGCAGCACACCATGAGGTGCTTTGCTTGGCTTATGCGGACGACGTGACGTTCGTGGGTGAACCACGTGCAACTGTAGCTGCCTTCAACCACTTCACCACGAGGTTGGAATTACTGGGCTTGAAACACAACCCGCAGAAGTGTACCGCATGGAGCGCTGCCACGGGCGATTCAACTGAGCTACCTCTAGGGGTGCCGTTCTGCAAGGACGGCGTCCGTCTGTTGGGAAGTTTTATCGGGGCGGCCGACGGGGCAGCCACGTTCTTGGCGGGGCAGCTGAGGGACTCGGCGAAACCATTGCCACTCATCGAGCAGGCCGACCCACAGGTCGCCTCGCTGCTGATCACGCGCTGCATTTCTCGGCGCGTGGCGTATCTCACTCGAACAACCCCCCTCAATCTCGTCTCCCGCGATACATGGACCGAGTGGGGTCGTGACCTCCTCATGACACTACTTACCTCGTGCAACATTCGCGCTCCGGCGGGCAGAGCAGAACAGCCACGCGTATGGGCTCAGGCGTCCCTGCCCCCCTCTCTTGGTGGTGTAGGCATTACAGACCCTCTCGTCGAGGGAGTCTACGGTTTTGTTGCAAGCTTCACGCAGGCGGCGCTGCTCTTCTCCGCGCTCGACGTTGCCCCGGACTCCGCACTGTCTCACGCGCGTGGCCATATGCTCCTGCCTAGAGACGAGAGCTCGCCGCTCCACTCCTGGCTCGCCAAGTGCGAAACCGCCCTGCCTTCTGACGCGCGTGAGCTGCTGGAACGGGAACGGATTAAACGGACGGACGTCAAGCTGCAGCACGCCCTCGCCCTACAGGTCCACGGTAGCCGTTACGCTGTGCAAGTAAAGGCGACGAGGGACATGGAACTGAATCCGCTTGCGGGCCATACGCAGCGGATGTTTTCTCTAACGGGCTATGGCACGGGGGACTGGCTGACGGCGATCCCTATAGAGGCGACGAGGCGCATTGGACCGGCACACTTTGCCAATGCCGTCAGATTCAGGCTTGGGTTGCCCTTCTCCACCCCCAGAAACTGCGACTGCTCGGACCACACCGCAATCACGGACCCCCGTCTCCCAAACCACCTCCTTCGCTGCGGCACCGGCAAGCATCGCATCAACACCCATAACGAGCTCCAGGATGCTTGCATTAGTATGGCGCAGGACGCGGGTTTCATAGTCCACAGTGAGTCGGCCGCCCATTGTCCCATCGAGGAGCAGACGGCCGATTTCACCATGACCGACAGGAGCAGCGGGGTAGTTTGGGTGTGTGATGTAACTGTGACAGACCCCATCAGCACTCGGGACCCAGAGGCGCAGAAAGGCAGAGGATGGGCGGCCAGAGAGCAGGCTGACAAAAAGATTCAACACTATGCGAAGATTGATATGGTACACACCATCCAGTCCTTAGCCTCTCCAGGCCTTCCTAGCTTAGTATATAGGCCCTAGGACCTAAGTGTGGGGCTCATTCTTCATTCTGTTCTCTGCATTCCTTCTCCTAACCCAGCGGCTATGGAGAGAGAGCGAGAGAGAGAGAGAGAGAGAGAGGCTTAGGATCCAGTCCTTAGCCTCTCCAGGCCTTCCTAGCTTAGTATATAGGCCCTAGGACCTAGGTGTGGGGCTCATTCTTCATTCTGTTCTCTGCATTCCTTCTCCTAACCCAGCGGCTATGGAGAGAGAGCGAGAGAGAGAGAGAGAGAGGCTTAGGATCCAGTCCTTAGCCTCTCCAGGCCTTCCTAGCTTAGTATATAGGCCCTAGGACCTAGGTGTGGGGCTCATTCTTCATTCTGTTCTCTGCATTCCTTCTCCTAACCCAGCGGCTATGGAGAGAGAGCGAGAGAGAGAGAGAGAGAGGCTTAGGATCCAGTCCTTAGCCTCTCCAGGCCTTCCTAGCTTAGTATATAGGCCCTAGGACCTAGGTGTGGGGCTCATTCTTCATTCTGTTCTCTGCATTCCTTCTCCTAACCCAGCGGCTATGGAGAGAGAGCGAGAGAGAGAGAGAGAGAGGCTTAGGATCCAGTCCTTAGCCTCTCCAGGCCTTCCTAGCTTAGTATATAGGCCCTAGGACCTAGGTGTGGGGCTCATTCTTCATTCTGTTCTCTGCATTCCTTCTCCTAACCCAGCGGCTATGGAGAGAGAGCGAGAGAGAGAGAGAGAGGCTTAGGATCCAGTCCTTAGCCTCTCCAGGCCTTCCTAGCTTAGTATATAGGCCCTAGGACCTATGTGTGGGGCTCATTCTTCATTCTATTCTCTGCATTCCTTCTCCTAACCCAGCGGCTATGGAGAGAGAGCGAGAGAGAGAGAGAGAGGCTTAGGATCCAGTCCTTAGCCTCTCCAGGCCTTCCTAGCTTAGTATATAGGCCCTAGGACCTATGTGTGGGGCTCATTCTTCATTCTATTCTCTGCATTCCTTCTCCTAACCCAGCGGCTCGCGCCGGCCGCCTTCGGCGGCCGACGCTCGACAGCGCGGCCTTCGGCCGCGCGTTAGGGGTGACAAGATCAAAGGAAAATAACAGGGAACAACATGGAGCATTACAACATGCGGAAGTAAAGGGGCAACAGCACCTACAACACCCTCGGGCGTGACTACACCGCCATGGGGAAGCCCAGAGCCAAACCACGCCAGAAGGTGGTGGCCAAAGGGATAGCACAGGCTACTCGGCGAGTATCCAAACAAGCCGCCCGTCCATCCAACGCAGCACAGAAGCAACGGCCGGCACGAGGTCAAGAGGTGACCGTGCAGCGGAAGACACAAGGCGACGCAACGCGGCGGGCCCCGGTCCGGAGGCAACACCAGGGGCCCCCAACTCCAGGCCCATGTGTGGGAGCGACCGCAGGATCTCCGTCACGGCTGCCACGGCAGACTCTGTCTCCTGCTGAGAAAGCCTCGGACACTCCAAACCGTGACGCGTCATGCAAGAATGCAGCTGGCCAAGGACTTCCGCCAAATGGTCCAGGCACGTCGCCACGGTCATTACGCGCAGCTCAACGCGAAGCAATCGCTCAACAGGCGTGCACTCTCCCCACCGGCTCCAACGCTCGTCTGGGGGCGGGGGAGGGGGAGGAACGGGTGCAGGCACGGCGGGAACCACAGCCTCACGGCTCACAGGAGCAGGGGCAAACGACGGTGACGGTGCCACACCGGCTGGATGAGAGGCAGGCGGAGGGGTCTGAGGAGGAAGCCGAGGCCGCGGCTGCAGCGTCAAAGATCCGCCGAGAGGGAGAGGCGTTGGAGGAGGGGGATGCTGTGGCTGCGGCACCGCCGACAGCAACCCAGGAGGCGCAGGAGCCGGCACAGGGGGAGGCCGCTGCTGGAGCTGCCGCTGCTGCCGACGGCTCAGTCTCTCCTGCTGCCTCTGTCGCCGACGCAACACGTTCGGGTCCCCGAGTCCTCCTCGCGGAGGGGAGCGATAGGATCGGCGGAAGGGGTGGGCGTGGGCGCGGGGGGAGCGGTACACAGGGGAACGACGGCGGCAACGCTGGTCGCGTTCACGGTCGAGCCCTCCTTCAGCCAGCGCCGCGGCGACTCGGAGCAGCGCTGGCACCTGCCCGCCCGGGGCCCCTCCGGGGATGGCATCAGCAAGAGCAGACGCCACAAGAGCCAGAGCTCCAGCCGCCATTGCCGACCGAACAGGAAGTGAATGTCGCGGATGCAGCAACAACGCAGAGACAGCAACGCAGAGAACGTCAGCAGCGACGGGAGGCGGGAGAACCGGCGCCGAACGCGCCTCCGACAGCGCGACGTGCAGCACGTGGTGCGGCGAGAGATCGTTGGGTGGCACCGGCCACGCCGTGGCGTCCGGGTGGGCGTGCGGTGGGGAACGGTGGGGCGGCGGTGAGAGGGAGGAGGGGACGCGGAGCTAGAGCACGTGCGCCACCAGAGCCGACAAGGACTGGTCCTTGGCGGGCGAGGCACGGTCGGGAAATCCCAACCGTTGTTGGGGGAGAGGGGGAAGAGGATGATGCTGACCATTCGTCCGATGATGCCCCCTTTATGGCATCAGCCACACCCTCATTGGAAGAGATCTCGCTCGCCGAAGAGGGTGAGGATGGACGACGTGGCATACGCAATCGTCAAGCCCAACAACCAACGGCAAAGGGGGAAGCGGCCCAAGCCCCTCCAGAGGACGACGTGGCGAATGGGGCGGACAGCAGGGCTCAGGACGTCCGTTCCCCGGGAGAGCTGGCGGATATGGAAAACTTATGGACTGCAACAGAGAGCTGGGATATTGGCAAGCTGACACGAGGCGACCAGCCATTTGTCGCTAGAAGACTGCCTCCTGGCGTGCTTACCAACTACTCGCTGTGCCTTCTCACTCCACTACTTCGACTTGCAAAAAATCCAAACTGTCCTGGTGCATGGCGAGTGCTGTGCTTCCTACCAAGGCTGACATTACGCCCTCAACCCCGGGAAACGCTTGGCAACAGATGGGCCGAAATCGAAGCGCGACTACACAAATTCAGGCTGGGGGAATGGGAAAACCTGTACACCGAGGCCATTACCATTCCCCCGAACCAGGATCCAGTCAGGCACCAATCCGACGCCACAGGGCTTTGTGCCAGGGCGGAGGGACTGGTCCGGAAAGGCAACCTCTCCAAAGCGGTAGCCGCGTTACAGACAACCCCATTGGCGAAAGCGACATCAGAGACTATCGCAGCTCTGCGGGCGAAACACCCTGAGGTGATGTCACCCCTACCGTTCTGGGTGGCAGGAGAGTTGACCTCGGAACTTTCCGTCAGCCAGGAAAACCTGCGCAACCTTTTAGCTAAGTGCCCCAGTGGGGTTGGGGCAGGTCCATCAGGAACCTGCTTCGAACATTTCCGTGACTCCGCCCTAGGCAACGAGGAAATCCTTACGCTACTCAGGGGAGCTGTGAACCACCTGCTCGGCAACTTCGTCCCACAGCCAGTCAGGGACATACTCCTCCCCTCCCGTTTGATAGCCCTCGAGAAGCCAGGCGGCGGAGTCCGTCCCATAGCGATTGGAGAGACTATCATTCGCATAGCGGCTAAGGCGGCACTACGCGAACTGGGCCCGTCAATCAACAGTTATTTCCTACCGGTACAGTTTGGCGTGGCGGTACAGGGCGGCGCGGAATGCATAATCCACTCGGTTAGGGCGTTACTAGAAGACGACAGTTCCAGAATCGCCATACAGATTGACGTGGAAAATGCATTCAATAGCGTAGAGAGGGCATCATTCATGAACTCGCTTCAGCGATCGGAGTTGAACCCGCTAATCCCATTGGTTCGGAACCTGTACGACGGCCCGTCCACGTTACTTCTGGATGTAGCGTTCGGCGAGGAGGTGGTCATGAGCACAAGGGGAGTTCGCCAGGGGGATCCCCTTGGCCCGCTTTTGTTTGCAGCAGCTATACAACCCGTCCTGCTCCATGTCGCCATGGCATTCACTGAAGTCGCAATCGTGGCGTATGCGGACGACATAACGGTAGTGGGTCCTCCGGAAGCGGCAAGGAGAGCATTCGACCTCCTCGCCAGCGGCCTGCAGCGGTGCGGGCTCCGCTGCAACTACTCCAAGTCAAAGGCATGGGGGCCGGGCATAGGCGAGAGAGAAACAGAACTCCCAGACGGAATCACGGCGGAAATGGGGGGTATAAGGGTGCTTGGGAGCCCGATAGGGACACCGGAGTTCTGCGCAGAGTTCCTAAGAGACAGCTTGACGGAGGCGGCTTCATCGTGTGACCTAATCGGGCAGCTCCACCCCCAACACGCACTCCTCCTCCTCTCCCGCTGCATCTCTAGAAGAATCTCTTACCTCCTGCGTACAACCCCGGCGCAACTCCTGCCCCTGGACGATTGGCGTAGCTGGAGCGAAAGCCTCTTGCGGACTTCCCTGGAGGCGGCTAAGATGCACGTCCCGACGGATGAGCTGGAACACAGCCTGACCTGGCGGCAAGCCACCTTGCCGGTCAGATTGGTGGGCCTGGGGCTCATTGATCCGGTCTGAGAGGCGCCAGCAGCCTACCTGTCATCTGTCAGCGCAGCACAGCTCCTACTGCAGCAGCTCAACACACCACGGGACCATACCCTCGCCAGATTCGCCACACTACTCTCCCCGGATCCCACTACCGCGGGTGAGGAGCGATCGACACTGGCGGAGCTAGAAGCCCGACTGCCTGAGGAAGCAAGACTGGTGCTGGGGGACTCCAGAACCCAAATGAACACGAAGCAGAACCTGCAGCTGCTGCTTTCTAACCACATCAACAGAGCCAGAGCGGCGGAGCTGATTGCAGACACCAGAATCGACAGACCTGGTGTGGACAATGGCCACCCACTGCGCCTACTGAGCCTACAAGGCACAGGCGCCGGGGACTGGCTCAATGCAGTACCAACCCGGGCAGATCTCACGTTAGCGCCCGGGCAATTCTCTCTAGCGCTAGGACTGTGCCTAGGCCTCACGCTGCCCGTTACAGATCAGTGCCCGTGCAACCGAGAACGGTCCGCCACTGCCGATAAAAGCCTACCCAATCACCTACTGCGATGCGGCGAGGGTGGGGACCAGACAAGGACGCACAGTGCACTAGTCTATGCGTGCCTGCGTATGGCAAAGGGGGCGAAGTATATGACATTGCATGAGACGACAGTCTACTCACCACCAGTGGATAGGAAGCGGGCAGACCTGGCTATCCGGGACCCTGAGACGGCAGAGACTTGGGTGACTGACGTCACCGTGACGGACCCCGTGCTGCAGCGGCGGGATCTTGAGGCAACAAGGGCCCCGGGGTGGGCGGCTGAGGAGGCATGCATCGGCAAGCACAAGCTCTATGAGGAGAGGCCTTCATGTGTGGGGTTCCTGGGCTTGGCAGTAGAGACCTACGGGGCACTAGCAGCGGATACGGTCAAGTTCTTCAGGTTGCTTGCCACAAATGCCGCTAAACGGGGCTTCGGCCATGGTCCTCAGACCACGGTGGCAGCAAGGCTCAACGCCCACTACCGCCAGCGCTTCTCAATGATGCTGCAGCGGTGCCAGGCGACGGGCCTCCTCACCAAATCAAACCGTGCTGCAGAGGCTTCCTCCCCACAGGCACCCATGGACCCATGGGAGCCACGGCTGGGGGATTTGTGGCAGGTGCTGGAGGATGGAGTAGGTGGCTAGGCGGCTTAAGCTGGAAGGAAGGGGGTGGGCGGACCTGAGTGGGGGCTTGTGTAGCTTGATGCAGACCAGGGCTGCAAGAAACGAGCAGGAGATAGAGAGAGAGAGAGAGAGAGAGAGAGAGAGAGAGAGAGAGAGAGAGAGAGAGAGAGAGAGAGAGAGAGAGGCCTAGTCCTTAGCCTCTCCAGCCCTCTCCAGCCTAGTATAAAGGCCCTAGTATCTAGTCCTAGAGCCTCATTATTCAGTTCTTGGTCAGTTTGCTCTCCTAACCGACGCTCGACAGCGCGGCCTTCGGCCGCGCGTTTGGGGCGGCAAGAGGAAACACACGCAAGTAACTTTAAGCAAAGGCATACACGCAATGGCAATTTCTGCCACAGACTAGGCAAGCAAGGCATCAATGGGGCAAGGGGAGCCCACATCTACATGCGGTGAGCTCCAAGGGCGTGAAGAACGCCCGTCAACGTCCGCCACAGCTCCCGGACCACAAGCGTGCTTGCGCCGATCGCCGCGGCTCCAGATCCTGCGCGCAAATGTCGCCTCAAGCCCCGGACAGCCTCGTGAAGCTCTCCCGCAGCAGCAGCGCCACGCTCTGCGGGCGCAGCCAGCACGGGTGCCAGCAGCACTGCGAGCTGGTCCGCCGCGTCCAAACAAGTCTCACGCGGACGGTCACGGAATGTCTCATGAGGGATCACGGGGAGGGACGAGTGAGCAACCACCTGTATCAGCTGCAACGCGTGAAGACTCTCCGCAAGGCGGTGGAGCTGGCCGAGCGTCGCCTCGGGAACACGTGTCTGCGGAGGCTGGAGTGCCTCAGCCAGGAACAGACGCGGCTCATCGGCAGCAACGTGATGAGAATACTGAGCCGCCGCCGCGCCACCACCCGCGGCCACAAATTCCACACCCGCAACAGGCGGAACCGGCGGCAGATGAAAACGCGATCCACGAGCAGTTGCCGAGGCAGCTGCTGCTGTGAGCAGGCCAGTGAGACTGCTGCTGGTAGCGCCGTGGAGAGTCGCGCCGGCGACGAGACGACTTGCACTCCTGGTGAGCCGCGGGGGAATGGGGGCGAGACAGGCGGCGGTCAGGTGACGGGGGGCGTGAGGGCTGACCTGCCGGGGCCATCGGCGTCACAGCAGGCGCGGACTGACCCGCCGCTGAGGGCGCAACCGACGGAGCCGGGCCGCCAGTGGTGGCGGACGCCGCCTTCGGTGACGAAGCAGAAGCCGGAGCAGGCACGCCGGGGACAGAAGCGGGCGGTGCAACGGGGGCGCCAGGGACCGGAACAGGGGGATCAACACCATCCCCAGCAGGAGCAGATGCCGACGGCCCAACAAGGAGAGCCAGGGGACCAGGAGCTGCAGCCGGAGCGGACGGAACAGCAACAGGGGCAGACGGGCCAGCCTCTGGCTCGGCAAGGAGATCCGCAGGTGCGTGGGGAAGAGTCCTTTCAGAGACTGTTGTCACGGGTTTCGGAGCCGGCGGTACAGGGGGCTTTGTCGCCATGGTCGCCCTTTCGGGCTCCGGCGGAGGCCTGGCGGCCACAGCCGACCAGGCGGCAACGCGCTCTGGCGACGGCGCAGGTGCACCGGCAATCACCATCTCAGGAGCAGGGAAGCCGCAGGGCTAGGAGACAAGCTGTAAGCGGGACAGGCGGAGGACCGGAGAACGGGTACCAAGCAGCGGCACGAATGGCTTTAGATAATCTGGAGGCGAATAATGAAGAAGACGAGTTAAACGACCCTTCTTATATGGAAGAAGCCCTCCCCATGAGCAAGGACGAGGACACGGAGGAGGAAGGCAGGGCGAGGGAGAGACCAGGGAGAAGGGAAGCGGTAGTAGGGCAGACAGCCTTGCAAGTACCACAGATGGCTCAACCACCGTCCGATGTTGATCGGACGAGTGCAATTCCAATTCCGAACTCACCTGCGAGGCCGAGCCGCGCTGGGCGAAATCGAACCGCCACTGCTGGTAACGCGACGCGCCCTTCAGCAACAATTCCCCGCTACTTTTCACCTGTCGAGTTAGCGAAGCGGACAGATCTATTCGCTGCCATCGTGAATTGGGACATTGCAGCACTATGCGACAGTCGTCAGCCTTCACTGTCGCGGCGTTTACCGCCAAACCTCTGTCAGCTGTTTTCACTGGCGTTACTGACACCGTTACTCCACTTATCGCGAAACCCCAAATCGGAAACGGGATGGCGCCTGCTGCTGTTTCTCCCGCGCCTGACACTTCGCCAGACCTCGCCACAGCGACCAAACTGGCCGAGTGTCAAGGCCCGGCTCCGATCTTTCCAGCGTGGTGAATGGGAACAGTTGTACCGGGACGCGGTGGATGCAGTCAACACACCGCCACCGCCACGACACCAGCCAGATGCGACTGGAGTCATCAGCCGTGCGGAGGGCCTGGCGAAACGTGGCAGCCTGCGCCGAGCCGTGCTGGCCCTAGAGTCAACGCCCGTCTGCACTCCCAGCCCGGAAATATTGGAGGAGCTGCTCCAAAAGCACCCACCTGCTGCACACGAGGCAGTGACATGGCCCGTGCCACATGGGTCAAAGCTGTCAATCCCCCACCCCGACTTTGCCAAAATTTTGGGACGATGCGAGAATGGGGTGGGAGCCGGACCGTCGGGCATGATATTTAAGCACATGCGCGACGCGGCGATTACCAATGCAATGGTCAGCACCCATCTGCACGCCTTGGTTAACACCATCCTGGGGGGAAAATTGCCAGGCTCGGTCGCAAAACTTCTGACGGCGTCACGACTCATAGCCCTCGCCAAGCCGGGGGGAGGGGCTAGGCCAATCGCGATCGGCGAATGTCTGACGAGGCTGGCAGCCAAGGCTGCCCTGTTAGCCATGGGAGAAGCGGCCCGCGCATTTTTTCTACCGCTACAGTACGGGGTGGCAGTGCCAGGTGGAGCAGAGGCAGTAATCCACGCAGCCAGGGCTTTCTTGGATGCCCACCCGGACAGCCTGGTCCTGCAAGCCGACATTTCAAACGCGTTCAACAGCATTTCGCGAGAAGCAATCGCCACCGCGTTACAAGAGCCCGCCCTCTCGCCACTACTGCCGCTAGTGAAGCTGACATACGGTAACCTGTCGCAACTGCTCCTAGACTCCAACTTCAACTGCGAACCACTGACAAGCGAACGCGGCGTCCGCCAAGGTGACCCACTTGGCCCACTTCTGTTCGCAGTGGGGATACACGCCACACTTTGCGAAACAGCAGAAGCACGCCCTGACGTGCTTTGCTTGGCGTATGCGGACGACGTCACTTTCCTGGGTGACACAGCGCACACTGTAGCGGCATTTACACATTTCACGGCCAAGTTGGCGCACTTAGGCCTCGAGCATAATCCACAGAAGTGTGCATCCTGGAGCTCAAGCGCATTCGAGCCAGCTCGCCTCCCGCCAGGAGTGCCGTTCTCTAAAGACGGCGTGCGGCTGTTGGGTAGCTTCGTGGGGCCTGATAGCGGCGCAGCTAAGTTCCTAGCGGGACAACTCGCCGAGATGGCAAAGCCCCTATCCCTTCTCGATCGAGCAGACCCCCAGGTAGCAGCACTGTTGATCACGCGATGCATCTCGCGACGAGTCGCTTACCTCACTAGGACGACGCCTCTCCTCCACCTCCCCCGAGATAGATGGAGCCAGTGGGGTAGAGACCTGCTCACCACGCTTCTCACATCGTGCGATATCCGCGTTCCGACGTGTAGAACCGAGCAAGCGCGGGTCTGGGAACAAGCGTCGCTGCCGCCATCGTTAGGAGGCCTAGGCCTCACAGACCCCCTCATTGAGGGGATATATGGCTTCACAGCGAGCTTTACACAGGCGGCGCTCTTTCTCAGCGGCTTATCGCTAGATCAAGAGACCGCTCTGATGCACGCGCGGAATCACATGCTAATGCCGCGGGATGACAGCACACCACTACACACATGGCTAACCGAGTGCGAGGAGGCGCTGCCGTTAGATGCGCGAGAGATACTAGAAAAGGAGCGGCTTGAAAGGTCTGACATCAGGCTGCAGCACGTGCTAGGACTCAAGGTCCACGGGAGCAGATATGCAGTGCAGGTGCAAGCGACGAGGCGCATGCAGCCAAATCCGCTCGCGGGCCACACGCAGCGGATGTTCTCACTGACTGGCTATGGCACTGGCGACTGGCTCACCGTGATCCCCATCGCTCCCACAAGGCGGATAGGGCCAGTGCACTTCGCCAACGCTGTGCGCTTCCGACTCGGCCTGCCGTTTTCCACTCCCAAGAATTGTGACTGCGCGGAACACACGGCTATCACTGACCCCCGCCTCCCGAATCACCTGCTCCGCTGCGGTACGGGAAAGCACCGCACGAACACGCACAATGAGCTGCGGGATGCCTGCGTTAGCATGGCGCAAGACGCGGGGTTTATAGTACACAGGGAGTCGGCCGCCTACTGGCCTATCGAGGAACAAACGGCCGACTTTGCCATGACAGATAGAAGCAGTGGGGCAGTTTACATCTGTGACGTTACCATCACCGACCCTATCAGCACCAGGGACCCGGAGGCACAAAAAGGCAGGGGATGGGCGGCACGTGAACAAGCCGACAAGAAAATCAAGCATTACGCCAACCGCCCAGAGACGGTTGTCTTCTTCCCACTGGCAGTAGACACCTACGGCTGCCCATGCGCGGAGGTACCTGTCTTCCTCAAGCTCCTGGCAGACACAGCGGCTCGGCGCCACTTCAACGCCGACTCAAAATCTTTCTATGCCGCAAAGTTTCTGCACCAATTCAGGCAGAGGTGGTCGGTGGCCCTTCAGAGGGCTCAATCCGTGGGACTCCTAATCAAGTTGGGTGAGGCAGCAGCAGTAGAAAACCCACCCGTAGGAGGAATAGGGCAGGAGTTGCACCTAAGGGACTGTTTTGCGGTGGTAGAGCCTCTCCTTGAGCTCTAGAGGGTGAAGTGGTTTAGCTCTGTGGTTCCGTTTGTTTGTTTTGAATTGTGCCTTCTTGCAACACCCCCAGGGTCGACTACATCGCCATGGGGAAGCCCAAGGGCCAGCCCATCACCAAGGGGGCCAGCAAGGGAAAAACAACGGCTACTCGGAGAGGATCCAGCAGAGCCGCCCGTCCATCCAGCGCAGGACGAATGCTGCTGCTGACACGAGGCCGAGCGGCTCCTCCCGGGCAGACTCGGCGAGCTCCAGCAAAGCCAGGGGGCCAGGGCCGAGTGCAGCGCCAGGGGAGCCTGGCACGTACCCAATCAGGGGAAGAAAGTGCAGCAACTCTGCCGCTGCAGTCTCCGCCGCCTCTAGCTCCGAGGGCAGCAGCCCCTGGATCTCCAGACCCTGTCGCGCCAGGCACAGGTGGAGCTGGTCGAGAATGTACGACAGCAGAGTCAAGCAAGTCCCCACGTTCATTGCGCGCTCAGCGACGCCATCAGGGAGACCCTCGCCCGACGGACTCCATCGCGCGTCAGGAACCACAGCAGGAGCAGGCGGTGGCGCTGGAGGAGTCAACTGCCCCCACGGAATCGGCACCTCGCGCCCACCAACAAAGAGGCGGGGGAATGTACCCGCGGGCGGACCAGCCTGAGGAGGGGGGGGGTGCGGGGAGAAGGATACGGAGGTATGGGGGACACGGGGGACACGGGGGGTGAAGTCTGCTGTCATGTCGACGGCGGCTGGAACCAACGGTGTGGAGGCGGCCGAGACATCAGGGGCTGAGGCGGCAGTGATGGCGGGGCCTGAGGCTGTTGCGGTAGCGGCACCCGAAGCGGCTGCTGATGGGGAGGCGCCGGAGGACGCCGCTGCGGCTGGAACGACGGCGGGGTGTGGGGCGGACCTGGGCCGCGCTGGCGAGACTGCCGCTGCCGTTGGCGACGGCTCATTTTCACCTTCTGCCACCCCCCAGGGTGCATCGCGGCTTGCTGAGGAGCGGGGGCCGGTCGCGGAGCAGGGACAGTTAGTGGAGGAGAGGCTGGCGGCATCTCCGGCACCGGTGGCTGCGGTGGAGATTGCTGCGGTTGTGACTGCCGCGGTGAGGAGACGGGGTGGTGATGCGAGCGAGGAGGAAATGATGGCGGCCGCTGCGTCCGCCGGAATGTCTGTTGCTGACGTGGGCGCAGACACGTAGGGGCACGGCCAGGCGGCGGACGGAAGACAGGGCCCCGGGAAGAGCGTCGCTGCTCCCGCCGCCCGCGAGAAGAAGGGGAAGAGGCCCCGCGCCCAGCCAGCAGCGAGGCGGCCCGGAGCAGGGCTGGGACCTGGTCCCCCGGGACCCCTCCTGGGCTGGCTGCTGCAAGGGCAGTCGCCACAAGAGCCAACGCGTCCGTCGTCATCGCGGGGCGGGCCATCACGACAGGTGGACGCCGACGAAGAGATTGCCGCCGATGAGGAGAGCGCGCAGGAACCCGAGATGCCGCCGCCCACGGAGCCTGGCAACGGTAACCGCGCCACGCCAGCGGCGACGGAGGCGGCAGCTGCAACCGACAAGATCGCGCCTCCGCAGACTGGCACCAGGCGCTCGGCAAGGCTTGGAGCTATCACCTGGGGCCCGCCACGTGGCGGGCGAACACCGTGGATGCCGGCGGGGCGTGGGGGACTCAACGGCGCGGCAGGAACCGCAGGCGGAGCAAGAAGGGGAGCGCATGAGGGTTTACGTGGCGGACTGAGAGGGGGACGGGGGGGGCGCAACCGTGCCCCAAGATCCGATATCCCGGTTAGGATAGGACCGTGGCGGGAACGCCACGATAGGCCGGTAAGGCAGGAAGCGGAAGCAGGAGCGAATGAGGAGCACGAGGCGTCTGACAACTCCGGGAATGACCCAGAGTTTATGGGTGGTGAGGAGGTGGAGTCCGAAGAAATCTCCTTGGACGAGGAGCAGGAACCTGGTAGGAGAGCCACACAGCACCAAGAGGGAGCAGCGGGGGAAAGCATCCGGCAAAATCCGACGGGGGGAGGAGAACCAGCCACGGAGGACACTGATGTGCCATCCCCTGCCGATCTGGCTGGCGATGACGCCATCTGGCAGGCTGCGGGGGCTTGGGACGCGGAAATCCTGCAGAAGGGGGATCAGCCTTTTCTTGTCCGCCGCTTACCCCCCCAGATCCTGGACATATACAGTCTGTGCATGCTGGCCGCACTTCATCGCTTGGACAAGAACCCGAGTTGCCCAGGTGGCTGGTTTGTGTTGCAATTCCTACCGAGGCTCACTCTCAGGCCCGCCCCGGAACCTGCCTCTGGGAGCCGCTGGGCACACATCGAGGCGCGCCTGCACAAGTTTCAAAGGGGCGAGTGGGCGGACCTTTTCGAAGCAGCTGGGGTCATCCCCGACACAGGAGGTCCGATACGGCACCAGGGGGATGACGAAGGGGTGTGTGCACGGGCGGAGGGACTGATGAAGAAAGGGAACATATCGAAAGCAGTCGCGGCTTTACGAACAAGCCCGCTGGCAGAACCTACCCCAGCTACACTCGAGGCACTGCGAGCGAAGCACCCTGAAGCGGAGACACGAATCCCGAGTTGGGTAACCGGAATCGGTAACTCCGACCTGTCAGTCCAGCCGGACACACTTCGCGAAATCCTCGTGAAATGTCCGAATGGGGTTGGGGCGGGGCCTTCGGGAACCTGTTTCGAGCACCTGAGGGACCCAGCCCTCGCCAACGAGGAGGTGTTGCTACTTTTCGCCCACGTAGTCAATCGGCTACTCAGCAGCTTCCAAGCTCAAAACGTGCGTGATTTACTCCTTCCCTGCCGACTGATTGCGCTCGAGAAACCGAATGGCGGTGTACGGCCGATCGCGATAGGCGAGGCCCTTCTACACATAGTAGCGAAAGCAGCGCTTCAATCCCTGGCGCCTAAGATTAGGGAATATGCAGTTCGGAGTAGCAGTACCTGGAGGAGCGGAATGCGTCATTCACACCGTCCGTTCTCTACTTCGAGAGGATGAAAGTCGTATCGCCCTTCAGCTAGACGTAGAGAACGCCTTCAACAGTGTCGAGCGACGGGCCTTCCTAGGGTCGCTACAATGGTCGAACCTTAGCTCTTTGATCCCTCTCGTCCGAAACCTCTACGATGGTCCATCACGACTGCTCACTGATGCACGCCTAGGCGTCGATCACATTCTGAGCTCACGTGGCGTCCGGCAGGGAGATCCCTTGGGCCCCCTCTTGTTCGCGGTAGCGATCCAGCCGGCTCTCTTAATCATCTCGGCGACGATGCCGGAAGTCGCAGTGGTCGCCTACGCGGACGACATCACCATCGTCGGTCCGAGGGAAGCAGCATGCCGAGCCTTCACGAAAATCGCCGGCGACCTAGCTGACGGCGGACTGCGCTGCAACTTTTCTAAATCTTCGGCATGGTGTGCCTTACAAGGAGGAGAACAGGAGGAGCTACCCGTAGGGCTAACAGCGGATCCTGGAGGAATACGGGTCCTGGGTAGCCCCATCGGCACCGCGGAGTTTTGCACCAGCCAAGTAAGAGCGTCGTTGGAAGAGGCGGCGTCTCCACTCCGCCTCGTCAGCCAGCTCCACCCTCGGGCGGCCCTGCTGATTCTCTCACGCAGTATTTCCCGCCGCATCTCCTACCTACTGCGGACGACACCGGCGACAGCCCTAGGTTTGGATGAGTGGAGGGGGTGGAGTGAGGGTTTAGTGGGCACGGCCCTCGCGGCGGCGAAGCTGAACATCCCGATACAGGAGCTGGAGAAGAGTCTTCTGTGGCGCCAGGCGACTCTGCCCATTCGGCTTGGGGGTTTGGGGATCATTGACCCCATATCGGAGGCACCAGCCGCCCACATTGCATCGGTGACAGCGGCGCACTCCCTCCTGCGGTAGCTGGGCCTTCCCCCCGAGTGTTTGATGCACAGGGCCATCACGCTGTAGGCCCACGACTGGTCGCCTCCCCCCCCAGTTTTCAACCCACTGTCCGCCCTGGAGGAGGGTCTCCCAGCCCAAGCACAGGCAGTCCTCAGTCAGTTCCGAGTGGACAGCGCAGGCACGGGCAGTTTGCAGCTGGGACTATCGAAGCAGATAAAATTGCAGCGGGCGGCTGATCTTCTGGGCGACACCGTGGTGGACAGACCGGGCAGGCACAGGGGGCACGGGATACGGCTGATTAGCCTGAAAGGGGTGGGGGCGGGCGACTGGCTTCATGCGGTACCAACGAGAGCTGACCTTACAATCTCCCCTGGCCAGTTCTCCTTGGCCCTAGGCCTCCGCCTCGGCATGGAGCTGCCGGTAGCTGAGGTGTGCCCATGCAAACAGCGGGGTTCAAAGATTTTGGAAAAGATTCTGCCGAACCATCTGCTGCGCTGCCAGGACGGGGGGGATGCGGTCCGAACTCACAATGCCCTCGTGTACGCTGCACTACGCATGGCGAATGAGGCTGGCTACAAGACTTTCCATGAAACCTCGGCCTTCTCGTCACCAGTCCTCAGGAAGAGGGCGGACCTAGCAATCCAGGATCAGGAATCGCGGGAGACCTGGGTGACTGATGTCACCGTGACGGATCCGGTGCTGCAGGAGAGGGATGTGAGAGCACGTAGGCCGCCAGGCTGGGCTGCAGAGGAAGCATCACAGAAGAAGCAACGGCTGTACGAAGGGCGCCCGAGCTATGCCGTCTTCTTTGGGCTAGCGGTTGAAACCTATGGGGTAATGGCTGCAGACACCGTACAATTCCTGCGGATGTTGGCAACCCATGCAGCCAAGAAGAAATTTAGGCAGGGCAGGCTCACCACCACGGCTGCTCGGCTCACAGCGCACTACCGGCAGAGATGGTCTGTGATGCTGCGGCCACGCTCCTCCCAGAAGTGGTGGTAGTTGCCTACGCCGATGATATTACGATTGTAGGCCCACAGGAGGCGGCGTTCTTAGCATTCGACTCCATCACCCACGGGCTAGCAAAGTGCGGGCTAAGACCCCCAGCTTGCTGCAGGCAAACGCGATGTCCGGCCTCGTCGTCGTCGCCGCGAACTGCAGCCAGCCGACCTTTTGCCGGTACTCCTCCTCCTCGCGCTCCTGGGCCTCCTTGTCATCGAACGTCAGTTCGGCGTAGGCGTCGACCGAGACCGGCGTCTTCGGGATTCGACCGCCCTGCTCCTCGTCGATGAAGCGCCTGCGCAGCTTGTCGGCGTAGCCCTCCTGGTGCAGCCACAGCTTCATGGCCGGCCTGTCGCGCAGGATCTCCAGCCCAAGGTACTTGACGACTGGCAAGATCTCGCGCAGCTCGAAGGCAGCCTCCAGCAGCTCCTTCAGCTCCTTCAGCATCGCGGTGCTGCTGCTGGCGGCAAGCAGGTCGTCGACGTAGACCAGCACCCAGCAGGTCACTCCGTCGTCGCCGGCCTTGAAGTAGAGCGCCTCGTCGACCTGGCTATTCTTCCAGCCAGCGCCCAGCAGCACACCGTCGAGAGCCCTGTACCACAACAGCGGCGACTGCTTCAGCCCGTAGAGGCTCTTCAGCAGCTTACACACCCGGCCGGTCCCATCGTCAAAGTTGTCCGGCTGGTACATATAGAGCACCCTGTCGAGCTTGCTCTGCAGGAAAGCGTTCTTCATGTCGAGCTGCATCAGGTGGAGGTCGAGGACGGCGACGATGCTGAGGAAGATCCTCAGCATGACGTAGCTGCTCACCGGCGAGTACGTCTCGTCGTAGTCGGCGCCGTACACCTGCGTGAAGCCCTTCATGACCAGTCTCGCTTTCTCGCGCTCAACGGTGTCGTCGATGCGGTACTTGGTCGTCAGCACCCACCGGTTCTTCCTGATGTTCACCCCGCGTGGGCGTTCGACCAGCTCCCAAGTGCCCATGCCGATGAGGCTGCGGATCTCTTCTTCCATGGCGGCCTTCACCGCCTCACCCTTCCAGCTCGTGAGCGCCTCCTTCACCATCATCGTGGCGATGTGCCAGCGGTGTTCGGGATCGGTATGCACGTCGGGGTCGAGCTACGGCGGTTCCTCATCCTCCTCGGCGTCGTCGTACAACAGATCGTCGTCGACCTCGTCGTACACCGTGGTGAAGGCAGCTGGCGGTAGGCAGGCGTGGAAGCTCAGCCGCTCCGGCGGCCATCGAGCTCGACCTGTGCGTCGCAGCTCCGGCTTCGTGATCGGCACCTCCACCACGTCGCTGTCGGTGGACTCCTCACCCGCCGACCGCTCCCCTTCCTCGTCGACATCATCGTCGTCGACCTGCTGCTTTGACCCTTCGACCGGTTGCTCGCCTGCTGCTGTCTTTGACAGCTCCCCTGTCGACTGCAACCCTGCTGCTGCCTCCTGTTCGACCGGCTCCCCTGCTGCTGCCTCCTGTTCGACCGGCACCCCTATCGACCGCCCCGGATTCCCATCCTGGTCGTCGAGCTTGGCGCCTTGTCGATCGCCAACGATGCCACTAGCCGGCGCCACAGGCGACGCCTCAAGGCTCCCCTCATCGCCGGTGGCCGACACAGGTGTCGACGCAGGCCGATCTGCGACGGGGGAGGGAGGAGCAAGAACAGGGGGCGGGGGAAGAAACTCCACAACGTCCTCATCAGCAGGCTCGTCAACTTTGGTGAGCAATGGGACCGTCGCCGTCGAGGTGTCCGTCGGCGGGTGTGCCTGCGTCTGCCCCGACGCCGGCCCATACTTCGCCTTCCATACCTCCAGCGACAGCGTCTCGTAGAAGATCACCTCGACCGACGTGACCACCTTGTTGTCGGTCAGGTCGAGCACCTCCCAGCCCTTGCTCTCCGGCGACACACCCAGGTGAAGCCCCCAGCGAGCTTTCGGCGCCAGCTTCCCACCGCGCTGCTGCTCAGGAACCATGAACTGCACCATGCAGCCCCACACCCGCGCCAGCGTGAGGTCGGGCTTCTTCCCGGTCAGCAGCTGGTACGGAGTCGTCCCCGGCGGCGTCGTCGACCGCTCCAAGCAGTTGCGCACCCAGACAGCTTGTCGTAGAGCGAGGTGCCACCAGTGGTGCTGCACGCCCATGTGCAGCAGCATTGTCCGCACGGACTCGACGACCGTGCGCATCTCCCACTCAGCCATGCCATTCTGCTGCGCAGTGTAGGGGCACGTCAGGTCGTGGACGATGCCCTTCCCGTCGATGAAGGCGGTGAAATCCTTTCCGAGGAACTCCCCTCCCAGGTCAGAGCGGAGCGACAGTACCGACTTCTTCGTCTGTCGTTCCACCAGCACCAGCCACTTCTGGAACTCCCGCAGCACGTCGCTCCTCTTGGCGACCGGCATCACCCACACGAACCGAGTGTAGCGATCCTTCAGCATCAGGAAGTACAAGCTGCCATCCTTGGCAGCCACCCGAAATGGCCCGCACAAGTCAATGTGCACGACAGCCAGTGCCTCCTCGGCGTCCGAGCCCTTGGTGGGGAAGGTGTGCCACGCCAGTTTTCCTCCGACGCACGAGACACACGGCGGGTCTGCTCCGGTCGACGGCGTGATGTCGAGCCCAGTAGCAACTTCATGCTTCGCCGAGCTCTTGATCGTGTCGACGCCGACATGCGCGAGCCTCGCATGCAACCGGTCAGGGGTCGACTTCGTCGCCGAGACGATCGTCCGCAGAGCCACCACCTCGGTCGACGGCGACCGCGTTGAGCAGGGGCGAAGGTCGGTGCAGAGGACTCGTCCGGTGTAGCGTGCTCGACCGAGCACCTCCCCGGTCGTGGCGACGAGCAGCATCTCGTCGCTGTCGCCCTACAGCTGCACTCCGCTCTCCTTCAGTTGGCCAGTTGACAGCAGACTCGCCTGTACGCCCGGAACGTAGAGCACGTCGG